ATCCATATAACTTCTATCTCAAACGTTTTTCCACCACTTTGTTTCTAACGTTTTATTTATAAGTGATTTATATCAATTACCCAATCCGTAAAGCAACTGGTCCACAAGTGTAAATGCGCATAACGCAGATGGTGCACTGTACAGTTATAAGCAGTCAAGATGTAATTTTTTCAAACATTATTACACGTTTTATAATGGATGTAGATGCAGGTCTACAGTATATGGCTTAACTGTGCTTAGTCCCGCGTCACTGCTTACAATAACTGCCAGCTCACCTGCTTCCATCAGACGTCTTCGAGTTATCTCGGACCACGAATAGATACGATAGATCAGTTTATAAATGCCCTGAAAAATGATATCTACCGCAATAAAGTGGAATTCTGAGCGATCATTTCTCGTTCCGCCTCATAAAACGTTCATATCGTTTCTGCCGTTCAAAATACTTTTCGTATTTCCTCGTTCCGCAGCATTAATTGCTGCACTACGTACAATACGATTTTTTAAAAATAATTTTTAAATAATATAACAGCATGAAACACCTAGAAGTGTCATTCGTCGTTATCGACAAACAATATCCGTGGTTTGCACTATGTCTATGTGTACACGCGTTTGGCTATATTTAAAAATTTAAACGAACCGTTGAACTAATTGTAGAAAAATGAAGTTCTGGATACAAGTCAGATATTAACGTTCATAGATGTCGAATACTTACAGTTTCAAACTTACGCAAGAATAAATCACATTTTTGTTAAGAAAACAAGTGCAAAATGCGTAACGGCGTGTTGAAGCACATTTCTAATTAATACCCAAATCCTGTTTATCGATATATTTTTTAAATCTGTTTATTATTTTGTAGTAACGTCAAGTATAACATATAATATCAAATGAACCTGTCTCTCTCTCACTCTCTGCTTTAACTCTCCAAGCTCTGTTTGATATCATTCTTATCTTTACACTTACACAAAACACAACTCCTATACTTATATCATCAATTCCTACGTAACGGCATCAGTGCAATTCCCCAGTGATAGCTTTAACAAACTCCACGAATGCATTCTGTCACAGGCAACGATAACAATGAAATCGTACCGTTGCACCTTGTTCATAGGACACGGAATATTATGCTTACAGTTATGCGCACGTGTCCTCAAAGTATCAATAAGCCGGTACGTGGACATAGGCATTCTTTATTCATGCGTGACATTTCAAAGGTCTCACAATTATTTTTTCTATAATAATTTTCTACCAAAGATCCATCGGTATCACGAACACGTATTATTTCCTTTATGTACAAAATGTATGAGCTACTTTTACGTACTTTTAACGAACACACTATTTCGCGAAGCCCCAAAGAAAGTCGCACACTCAGGCTGACTCATAGTGTATGGATTTCAACCAAACACGTGCGCCTTTTTAAAGACAGTAAAAATATTCCGTCTGTCAACATTATTTTCGTTATTATCCTCTATCGCGCACAGTGCAAACACAGACATAAAGTACATCAGCGCCAATTGACCAATGGACTTCTTTTAAGGGTTAATGACTGACAGTTTATTGTTAAACGGCAAAGCGATGCTTGACACCGAAGTCGATGATTGTTTCCCGTGTTCAATGTCAGCACAGCATAATGCAATGTAGTGGGAGCAACAGACTCGTAGGCATTGGAAAGGTTGGGTGAGACACTCACTCAGTCGTCCAGGTCCGCTCGGTCGGAGCGCACAACTCGATTCCAAAGGCTCCCTTCTCGTTATTTGTATATTTGTGCGGATTATTGAAAAAAATAATTAATCGATAGCATAAAGTATCAATCGATCCGAGAAGAATAGAGCTCGCGCGATAAGAACCGCCAAGTAGTTCTGCACACGTGTTCTACTTGGTTGACCTTTACGAAAATGCATCAGTATTGTTAAATCGCGCTGTAAGCAGGTAAGTGGAGAATATATAGAATGAGAGATGGGATAAAATAATAACGAGTATCGTACGTGATGCAAACGCGAACTGAATCGGTTGTACAAAGTCGTGCAAGGGATACTTTGGATTTTTCATACCCGACGGAAATCCGAAACGGTGCACTTCGGGGTCAATTGGGGTTGAAGAGGACGATTGTGAGCAAAGTGCAGCCAGTAATTTCCTATGTGCTCCGTATAATCGGATGGTTCAAACACCTTTGGTGTTAATACCGCAAAAGGGAAACTATGGGAACAATGTGCAATCATAATTCATAATTAAATCTTACAATGAGCCGAACACAGATTCTCAGGCTAACGATGCGAACCCTCCTGGAGATCGAGTTTATCTTGAGAAAGAAATCGGTAAGCGCGCCTTCTTGACTTCCCTGCCGAATAGCAGAGTCGAGATTATTACTCGTGCATCGGTTTTATTGGCCACTTCGGTTCTTTAACGATCCTCTCGTAAAACGGTTCGGCTGATAAACCCCATTTTTCGTATAGGTACATACACCTCTGGCAAATGAGGTATGCACATCAGCTTCGAAAATCTCTGTAAAGGATAAACTCAACGTGGACAGGATAAAACAAATTTTTATTATGGAGAATATAATACAAATTGATTACCGAACGATGTACCGTTCGTCTGCAGTCGCAGAATCCTACTGATGAATTATTTATCGGCTCTCCGATGATCTCATCCTAATGACTAATTCGAGATCTTTTTTTTTTCGAGTAGCAACAGAAGAAGATTTTCAATCCTGTGAAATAAACTTAGCAAAACGATTAGTTCAAATCACGTATATTAATTGGTACGATATACACGGAGTATTCGATATCAATTCATATTACGAAACTCAATAAATCGTATAAATCGGCATTCCTCATTTCGCAAACCTAATTTGTGTGAAGTCACTAAATTTATCGTTACACTTCATTTTTTTTTATCACGACATAACCACGCTGATTAGAACGTAGACAAATAGTATAACCATGGCCAAGGGCAACGCTGACTATCGCAGCACGTAAGAACGCGACATAAACAACCCGTATGAGGTATTAAAAAACGACGAAAACGATAATTCTATATAAAAAGTAGAAATACCGCGAAAACACGTGTCTTGCGGTAATTCCGTCAACCGGACAAAATAAAAGTACATTGAAAAAAAATAGGAAACGAGCGGATTCCATACTAACCAAAATTCAATCTTCGCAAAGGCCCAAAGTATAAACGTAATAATAATAATAAATGACATAAAATCAAGCCATAGAATAACTTCAAAAAATCGGCAAACATCTCGAACCCGATACACGTATCATCCAACGGAATTTATCACTAAATGAAACTCCACGTGACAAGCTCTTAAAATTTAAGTGTATGAAAATTATTCGTGGTCCACGTCATTATTCTGTTGTTCAGTTTGCCTGTGTGTACATACATACAACTACCTACTTACCTTACCTTCCTGCCGGTCTGCCTTACCTTACTGCTGCCTGTACAATCTTTCTCGCTTTTACGGTTAAACCACTCGATGCGCGATGCCCGTCTACGAGGCATTGTAAGACTCGCAGCCAGACACAGTGTTGCATTCCTAAGATGATTCAGGTTTGCCTGATGCTCCCCTGTGGTTCGGTTCAGATGCACGTTCGATAACCAATATCCAAGGTAGCTAACGAGGGGTGTTGCAGCACCCTTACACATTAGAATCTTCCATTAGAAATAATAAAAGCAAAAGCTCGCTGGATCCTGCACAGAGTTGGCTCACGTGTTTTACGAGTTATCAGTAGGTACGGTTCGCAGTATAATACGTGGAGAGACTCTTATAGCATAGCTTAACGATTAGCATCGTATACCGAGTGTAATTGATTTCATAAGGTTCGATTTATCGATTTTTTCAAATCATACTTTTCAGTTATCTTTAAACTTTAGATGAAAAGTAAACACTGTTTCTCGATACGTCCTACTAGCTATGATGAATTTTATTGAAATTTTAAATACTATTTTCATTCTCACGTCCTATCTACCTACGGTCGTTTCACGTATCCCAAATGTGTTACCGACAATGATGCCAGTGGTGTATGGTCTCTTCGGAGTGTATTTGATTAGTTCAATAGAGCGTACAATGGTTCCCGGACGTATGTTACACATTTGGAGTATTGTGACAGCAGACCTGTAAGAAATTTAACAGTGAAAGTACAGCTATGAGAAGTAATGCATATGCATGGATATTCTAAGAGCTGTTACGAGAACAGCTGTGGATGCGCATTACGCGTCATATGACGTCCACGTTATTATGTCAGAGTGGAAATAGAGGTTTCGTCAAGATGCAAGTTTTCCCAGCGTTCAGGTAAATGCATTGCGCGTTTGACATAATAATACCATTGAAGTTGCACGGAGCGAAAGTATCAGCACGGTAAATACGGTACACCCCATAGAGACACAGCACTCTCATGCCTGGCGAAATAATTAAAGTCACTTTGCAAATTGCCTTTTATGGCTTGTAATCACTCATTTTCCGCAGTGAATTATGCGTCTCGTTCCGCCGTGCGGAAAAACACGTCACGGCGACAACACGCGGCGACGTTGAACGTCTAGAAAACCCTCAGCTAAAGTTTACATAAAAACGTCGAGCGAATCTAGAATCAAGGTCACGCCATGTATAATTCTTTCAATTTGCTCCTCCTTAAATATGATTTGTTAAGCGTTTAGCGGTTACTTTTAAATTGCTAGCAATTTCGAGTCGTGCGTGCTCCGCCTGTTACGGGCATGTTATATCGTTGAGTTGTATTACGAAGTGTATATGCACACGTCGCAAGAATCTTTCTTTATTCACTCTCCTTGTGGTCGTAACATGGGGACAGATATCGCGGAACAGCCTCGTACGACTCGATAGGCAAGAAGGACAGTCGCAACAAGCGTATTACTCGTATCTGTGAATACATTTCGAAATTTTCATGTAAACACTAATTTACGCTTGCCTCACCAGACATTTTTAACTACTGTCGTGGCATTTTAATAAAGTCAAAAATATCAGGGGTTCTTCGTGTAATTCACCTGGGTATTGGTATTGAGAATTACATTAACCTTAAAAGAGAAGTTGACTCCTAATTGGAAAACATAGGATGTTCATGCTAGTCGTGCTGAGTATTTGGTTTCTTCCTGTGCTTCACGTTTAGCATACAGATAGTCTAGTTATTGTTTTCCACGGATGAGGAAACAGAAGAGCAATTAGCATTTCACATTCCAGTGCGGTATAGACAAAACGGACCAACCGTGTACGTATCCTATGATACATTTACGGTCATTACATCGATTTCTAGGTTATGTGTAAGCCGGGGTATATACTTCGCGAGAGTTGCACACTTGGGAGTTTATGATAGGCTTTGAGAAACGTAATGACTTTTTTATTCGTGTTACGGTACCACGTGCGGATAATCAATAAGACACTCTCGGTATATAATAAAATGTAAGACGGGTATTGTCGAAAATTAGGTTAAGATAAGATTACGACGCGAAATGATTCAGAGGCGTCTATAAAAACTGAGTGGATTTCAGAACTGATAACTTAATCTATAGACAACGCGAGTATTGGCACAGGATGTACTTCCATAATAAACTATATTTTTTTTTAAATAATCACATCTCCTGGAACTTCAATGTTGATTTGACTTAATAAGTTATTATCCTAAAAGGCGATTAAAATTGACACAGCATCAACTATGAAAACGTAGCTAAAGTCAATCGAGGCAGATGATCCCATTTCCAATCGTTCGCTTCAATCAAAATAATTATCGACTTCCACAACGTCAAGCTGATTCCGGATCAGGGTCGATGTCTGAATCATCCAAAAGAGACCTCTAGTGTACCACACTACGCTCTGCTTGGTCCTCGACTAAGCCCAGCAGTGAGATGAATGAAATTGGACACCCCGAGTTGATTCTATGCTTGTATGCTATACTCTGTGATTTTTCTATCCTCCGTATCTCTTCACGCATTCATTCGATACACTTAGTGACCACGAAAAATGCATCCGCTCCGTAGAGGTGTGTGAACTTACCTACCGGATGATGTAACGCAAATAGGAGATGGACACTAAAACTTTGTTTGCGAATTGACCACAGACCACAAGGTCTACCGGTGTACCTTCTATTCTACGGGATTATACGGATAAGGTCGAAGAATTTAGAAATGAATAAGACTAGCAGAAAAAAGCCGTGAAAAATTAACGGAAAGAACCAAAGGACTCGCATTACGCATCTCTACTGAATGACGCCTACCATAATAGTATCTCTTGATGCGTTTGATTATCTGTTGAAATAAATGTACTATTTTCACTGAGCGATACTAGACGACACGCTATCCTCATTCGGCACCACATGCCGCGACTGCATTGACAGCTTTCACAAGCAACCACCGTAGCACTCTATACTGGAAAGACCAGTAGTTCCTCCTCGACCTCTATTCCTCGAAGCTTCACGGTTGGACATTAGAAACAATATAGATCGATTCGCCTCGCTTCATTCACTTATATATGTATATACACGCGTTAAAAAAAATATCTAAATTACCTTTCATCGCGTAAACATAGAGTCTCTCTTGTAAAGGTTAGCTAGTCACGTATGTACCTAGGCTCTTCCAAGTGATAAAGGCATAGAGTACGTATCCGATAACTTTCTTGACGCATTGTTTCAGGCCCTCAGAGTATATCCATAGAGAGGATTGGCCAACTAGCGGCCTTGGGGCCTCGTCCTTATACACACGCGTAAAGAATCACGTACAGACATATCGGACGGTCGTTGTACACTCGTGCGCGAAGCCCCAGAGCATAGTTACACAGCTATTCCAGCGTGGAATGTCTGGCATGTCGCTCATCAAATGCCCACAAAATAAAAGGACCTTGCCGGCCTTGATAATGTTCCTTCTGAGTTCCGAGGTCTCGAAAGAGCGTGCCCGGCCGTCTGCTGCGTGTGTAAGGGTCAGCTTTCTCGTGACACTGTCCGCATATGAACGAGCGAGCGATCATGGAAAGGCGGATAAGGAGAAAATTCACTACGTGCTACGAGGCTACTCACGCCTTTGCTCGGGGCCTTTACTGGAACTGCAGACAGGATCTAGTGATCGACAGACATGGCTATAGGAGGACAGAGTTAACTGCGCGCGTGAAAATGTCCCTAGATTTTATTTTCACTTCAGCTCTTATTCTGGTTTATATTATTCAGGGTCGTTTATACCTCTCGTGTGCACTTTATCGAGGAATTATTATGCGTGCACGTGATATTGGTAATTAACGATTTTATTGAACCATATGGTTAACCAGCCAATGGTAAAGTGCGTGTATAGTCTGAGATCGATCTCTGTATCGTCTAGGGACATTTGCACGCTCCTTAAGTGCTGTTATACAGTTGGGAACAGTGCCGTGCGGTGGTTTATTCTTTTGGATGATGCGATAAGAAAGGTACTGCGAAATATTATTATGCAAGTAATATAAAGAAGGTATTTATAGATTTAATTGAAATGTATAATAATAACAACAACTATAGCATTTTGCATTTATGCACGGTGTAGCGTTTCAATTTCATACTCATGTTAGACAAACAATATCGTAACGTCGAAATCTTGAGGTTAAGTGAGAACGGATTTTGTGCTGTAGCAAAAAGAACGTGCTTTTTTACTACGAAAGTTTACCACGATTTCCGTCGCGATACGTATAATCGTGAGAACGAATGACCGACATAGTCATTACGTAATTTTTTTTAAATACGCGTAAACCGTATTACCAGGAACCGTTATTATTATAGAATTACTGGAAGCAAATATCTCATATGTTTGCAGAAGTACCTAAGCCACAGTATCCTTGTACACCCGGTACATTTATAAATCTCACTGAATGACAGGGAAAGTCATGCGATCTTTAATCTGCTCCCTCTTTTTTTCTTAAATCTCATGGAAAGTTCAGGAGCATAGGTTACGACCCTGGATTTTAAGTGCTACCGTTAAAATCAACTCGCTAGTTAGCTCCGTGGCCCGGTCACGCCGAGCCGGACTTAATCTGGAACGTCTATACGAGTTTGCGAGTAAGCGCAACAAGAACTTGTCCGGTCGGAGCGACTTGCAAGGCGAAAGACAGACTCGGCACGCATATCCTAGAATTCCAGCTAAGGTATATAATAATATCTAGGAAGAGAACAAGTTACGACTTTGTGTATAGTTTACTTCGCGTATGTTTTACGAGTACTTACCCGAGTGAGTACTACAAGTATGTACGCTACGCGTATGTCACTTCGATTTAAACGGTATCCGGAATATCCCGCGACTGAAAATACTTGCGGGATTATTAGCCGACGGTACGGCAGCACTGACGCTTCAACCATTTCAAAATGCTTGGTTAAGTATTATCGTGGTATGGCCAACCGGTCGAAGGCTTCTTTCTTTGAGTGATCCTCATATGTATAGTTATTACAGTCCACGTCTTGGACGGACGTGGCACACTTAGTGCATCATCCATTTTGATTATCAGAATGGCCTATAGCTTGGTTTTGAATCGACCTTGAATAGTATATAATTATTGAACGTGTTAAACACAAATTATACTGTTGGATAAATTCAAAATCGTTGCCTATGGCTACCGCTTAATTATATATATAAAAAAAAAACTAGTATTGTCGTGGGCTGAAGGATCAGTTCTGATTTAGTGTAATCTATGCAGTATACAGGATTTGACTAGTGAAACGCATAAATGGATATGTGAAACGGTTGCGTAAATAATTATTAATCTTGTTCATTAATTCGATTACTTTGCTTTTGAGATTGTTGCTTATAACCGATCAATCCGTACTGAATTCGTCAGTGAGATTTGTTCATGATGATTATTCATGATTGATTTGCATCAAAGAAGGAGATCGTTACTGATTTGAAGATGGACGAACGATCGTCGCTGCTTTGTAAATTGAGTCGTATATAGGTCTGGTAGCACTTTAAAATAGACTTAAGTAAAATAAATGCCTGTGTAGCAGCGGTGCGAGGGACTCTGATGAAATCGGAGCCGCACTTTAAGAATGCGTTTACCATGCGCGACTGATTGGTCTTGGCACGTGGAATGTTTACGGGTGATAATGCTGTTGACCCAAAATTCAAGTGAATGTACTATAGTGAGTACGATCGTGTCTAATAAATATAGCAGCCAATTATATGACAGTAGCAGCTCGTAGTACCGGTATACGTCGATATAACAAACGTTGGGGAAAGTGATCACCTCTCATCTATGAGGCTACTCTCCATTAACAGGTGACTCTTCTTAGTTTCACAATGCGAAGTGAATCGATGACAAGTTGACAGATATTTTCTTTCCGCTTTAAAGAAATTATAGCCTCTAAAAAGTATTACCATAGTTTCTAATTACTCCTTTACTGTGGAAATGATGTTCTATCAATTGGTAATAGATATTCATTTACGAAAATGTAGTATATTGTAGTATTGAGGCTCGGGTGGGTAGCTTGTTGTGAATTGTAAAAAAAACTGTATCAGTAATAATGGAGAGATCAATCGAATTGCGACCAAGAGTTTCCACTTCAATGTCACTAAACCGTTTCGCTCGACTGCACGAAAAAAATTGAAAGTGTCAGTGAGATCTTCAGGGAAAATGTTGGAATTTATTGGAAAGTCTGATCATCGCATGAAACTATTTATGTCGTTTCTTACTGTCAGATCATGTTTTACCAGTGTTTTTAAATGTCCAATATATAATTGATGATCAATCTCTTATTTAACGTGACGTTATGCATGGTTGTACGTATTTAAGAACATCTGACATTGTAAAGCTCACTGAAATCCCAAGAGTGCGCAACTTACGATACTTTGTTAAAGAAGAAATAAAGTGACGAAATTTACAAACAACTTCAGGTTCGTTTATTCATTGGCGGGAATTTCGACACGACACATCGCTCAAACCTTGGTACAGTCCTCGATTAGAATCCACATCGTACGCCAAATTAGCGAGTCCTTACCTTTCGGCCTACCAAAAAACGTAGGTTACGTAACGCATGCGTAAAATTGCCCGCGAGTATCTATCATCGTGATTTTATCATGATGAAACGTGACTGGTAACCTTTGGTTGCGAGAAGAATTTACTTGAGAATTAGTGAATGAGCGACTGTTCAGGTGGCAGTAAAAGGTACTAAAATCAAAGGAGTAAAACGTCGTTAGACCCAACAGACACATTTCCGTGTAAATTATCCAACTTGTAAGTTGTTTTCTATATATTCATAGTTGGAGGCGGAACTGCAAGTGAGAAACGGGAACATCCTCATGCTCATATGATAAGTATGGAGAGAGGTTATGTATACTTGTAATATATGAAAGCATTAATGTCAATTTCAAAACATGCGCAGAACCAATGCGCAGTGCGTCGAAGACGTCCAGCCATGAACTTTTCTTCTACACCAGCAGTTATCCTTGATCAGGAATTTTCTGTATATCCTCAGGCAACTGCAAGTACCGTGGCGAATGAGTGAAAAGTGAAAACCCCGTTGAATATACATACTTTGCCGGTGGACTAGTGGCACAGATATTTGCATCGGAGAAAGTCGCCCCACCCGCTGATCCGTACGGGTATATTAATTTATTAAGGCCTTACGTAACAGAGCGCGTTATCCCATTCAATTACAGTTCACATCGTCACAGATTCTAATACTCCTTCTATGGTAGTTACGATTCTCACGATTTCAAGTTTTTGAATTACTCCTGCCTGACGACCGTGTCTAGATTGAAAAACATAAGATTCCATACCGAGACTTTTATACGACGTTAATTTGTTACTTTTAATTATAGCGATGAGACTCGCTAACATAATCTCATTGGAATTCACGATCTATTGGTTATAGCCAACTTTATGAGATGCATCTCAGGTAAAGTAATTCTGAAGGTGCAGCAGATTTCCAACTTGCTTGTAAAAATATTCAGTGACACGTAAATATTACGCGACGTGAACGAATAATGAAGACGTACGATTATTTTCGTTGTGATTTCTAAAAAAAAATCATACCTATATCGTTTTTTAACGCGTGCACCGTTACACGCGTAAAATCCTAAAAGATAGAAAAATAGGTTAATATCCGAACAGATACCAAAGCCGGTTCGTTGTTCGTTTCCACGCAGCAGTTCCATTAAATCTATATATCGGGACGCGATGACGTAAGGCAAATCGTTACGTATCTTTCGGAGAAGGCAGAGAAGGAATTCTTCAGTGAGATTTGGTATGCGACCAGGTAGAAATGCTCGCTACACTCCCTCGCCATCGGCCTCCTTTGGATTCCGGAAGTTTATAGAAAATTAGCATCCTCTGTATAAATTAAATATTTGGCAATATTATATTAAAGAAAAAAGATTATTTTTAACGTTTATTGAATTTTATTAAAATATTTATATACAACCTACCTCTCGTTATTAATTAGACGAAATTACTGCATGGCAGCTGTAAGAATATTTGCCTTTTTTTCATTTCCGTCTAGAGTGCCGTGCGAAGGGAACCTGAAAGTCAGGAAGAATGCTACAACATCTTTTCATGAAAATTATCTTCGGCATTGTAAGACGGACTTTCGATGAGACTCTCCCTGATGATCTCACTGTTCCGTCTGCTGCGTAACTTGCTCATGCGTAATGTAATGCCGAGTATAGATATAGAAAAAATAAATTTAATAGTCCATATTATATATTTTCTCTCTCTCTCTCTCTCTCTCTCTCTCTCTCTCTCTCTCTCTCTCTCTATTTCTGTCTCTCTGGACACATTAACATTTCGCAATACGAGACAGCTATTTCATCGGTTTGCATCCTGGATTTTTACTTTTTTCTTTTTTTTCTTCAACTCTTTATAACTTTATTTCCCGTCTCTCGGTAATGATTTATCCTTCGCCAACCGCATGCTTTAACGTGCCGCAGTTTGTTCCCTTGGAATGTTCCCAGACAGGACTGGGAAAGTAATATGGCAAGCGTTCCAATAGTCTATCCAATAGAGCACGAGTGGCTCTAATACCGATCGATTCGATAATAGCCAATTAATGTGTCAATGACGTTATTACCTCGGAAAGAGATCAATCCTTGGATATCTGTATGTATTAGCTACCTTGTATTTTCATTAAAAAGTTGCTCATTCTTTGTTTGCTTTAACGTTACGTATTCCCACTTCTTGCACTCTACGTAATTCACTGAGATATTCCTTGGAGTGGATGTACACAGGGAGAATGGAGTTTTGAGGCTTTTTTTTTTCGTGGATACCTCACGGCTATTAGTGGTCCATTTAGGTTTTTATATGATGGAAATCAGGGACAAGTGCAGCCACGACAAAAGTCGTTTTGGTCCACCGATTTCGCCGGAAGCTGTATACGTCGGTGTCTGAAGTACTCCACGTTTAGGAATACTATTGAGATACCGTACTGCCATGTAACTTTTTAATGAATTTTCGAAAGTATTGATTCAAGCAGCTCTCAGTCGTACGTTTCAATATTAGCTATAGATTATTGAAACGTTACGCAGTCCGACAAGACTTTCGTGGTGGTCGTGAAAATAATAGAAATCGTCAGATACATCTTGGAAAGCGTCATTGCATTTCCGGCTATTAATATTCTAGTGACTTTTTTTTATAATGGTTTGAAATTGTCAATGGGTCACTTTGACTTTATGCTTTCTACCTTATTTCGTATAATACGACAGATGTCTGAAAGATGGAATTACGATCGCTCTTATCTCAAGATGTTTTCATTGCTTTAATGTAATTGAAAAATTTGAATGACTACTGTAGACACGTTATGTAAATGAAAAATTATTAATTTTCAGAATGCGTTGGTTTAAGACGCATAGCGAAGCCCCAAGACTTTTGAGCCTGAGTCCTCTGCGAACCGACGAACATCTAGATGGTGCATCTTTGCAAGTACATGCAGTCACCCGAATCAGAGGTAAGAATTCAGCGCAACGTATAAAATTCGTAATTATCCACTTTATATAAATTCTAATAAAAATACAATTATTGGATGAATTTCATGTTTTGCGCCAACGACAAAAAAAAAAGCAATGATGAATAGACAGACAAAAAATAACGGAATCATCATGAAATCGTAGGAATAAGAACTTTTTTTTCTCGCTAACCTTGGTACGCTTCACTGGTAGAGTGAAAAATGGGAAGAGGTCGAGAAAGTCTTTCGTGCGGAATCGACGATTGTGTGTACGAGCAATAACGTTATCTGGCTACCGTATACGCGGTACCTAATGTATTTTTCATGCGAATCATTCGGCTCTGTACGCGTATGGCAGGAGACGATAAAACTCTCAGTGCTACCAGGAAACTAAACAAAGGAGTTAGTCAACCCGGTTATCCAAATCGCGTTGGCGGAATCATTGTGGTTTTTGGTCGGCACTTTGTGCTCGTCCCGCGGATACTTGTGACGCGTCAATTACAATTTTCAGGATCTGACTATCCACTACGTGTATTCGCACACGTATCACATATTCAAGCATGTATTTCAGTGTTGCAATACAAAAAGTTCAGCAGAAAACGCCATTCGGTAATATTGGTAGCATTGATAGGAATGCACGTGTACAACGAGACATGCTTAGATATTGGATCCTTTATGGGTAACGCATAGCCAATATATACTGTGACGTAGGGTCTTACCAAAAAACAGTTAGTGACACAGTTTCTTTTGCATATTTTAATTTTCTCTTGCGATCAGCTTAGCACTAGTTCACCTCACCGACAGAACCGGTCAGGATATTGCAAAAATTGGAAATCAAGATTGCCCCGATAATAAGATTAAAAGTCTTTATTGATCGTGATAAGGGTAATGATTAATTTCCCTTCAAACGTCGAGATACCAAATGCAAAATTATTGATTGGAAAGTTGCTCGTTATGGTTGTGTCAGTAACTCGTATAAAATTTTGAAAAATCATTTACCTTTTCTGGCCTTTCGATTCGTGCTGTTAATGTAGGTCAGTTCTGGTCGATGGTACGTCACTTTCCTATGGACTTTCTAGTAACAATTTGATATTTTTCTTCTGCAATTTCACACTATGCAGACAATTCCCGTGAAACCGTTGACATAGAAAAACTCTGGCGAGGTAATTCCCCAGAATCAAGGTAAATTACGATTGTTGCCCGAAATAAACATCGAGCTGTTTATATGTATAATTCGTCGTACCAGTTTATTATTAGCAATTTTGTGGGACGACACTTTCATAATAATATTTCAGTAAATTTATTTTTCGAATTCCCAGAATATTTTTCATTAAGTAATAACCGATAACACGAAAATAACAATGAGGCAGGTATTTCGCATGGAAACTTTATATTTTCTTAATATTTTCATAGTAGGTTACCATTTTCTGAAATGGTATTAGGCGCACCTTGAGTGTCATAAGCGGAAGTGACAGCCGAGCCAAACCTTGAAGTTTCTTCAAAATTCAAGAAAAGTCAATACGTCATCAAAAGTATTATTCAGTACTAACGTAGTATCTATCTTCAAACAGATAACCCATAAATGACGCACTGGATCGTATATCAATTAGTCGAGTAAGAAAAATTATTTTCTGTTACAAAATTTCATTTCGATCTTCCACATGCATCTCACGTTTCTCATTCATCATTGTACCCGCGGAAAGTACACGAACCTAGAACGTATTTGAATCCGGTTTAACGAGATCGAATACCGAAGTCTCCCCTTTTTACATGAATTTTTCATTTTCTCTCTTTCTCGTCCTTCCTTCAGGCACGCATTACCTACGATAACGAAGCATTCTCAAAATAATCGAAAATCATGAAAATCACTAGACACGCTTTCTTTCCTTTAACTTGTCTCCCACGTCTGTTCTCTCACGCCTAATAATACTTGAGGGACTGTCTCATACGGGATGTCCTGCCTTACACACATCCTGCATGACCGTCCATGACAGCATACGAGGGAACGCGTATAATACGTCACGCTTCGCTGATATAGCGCAGTTTTCTCGCGACTGTCAAGCCAAATGGTTAAATCCAGATCTTCGAGAATGGAATATTTCGTTGTGGAAAGTGAAGCAGGAGAATGTCACAGAAGATTACGGGCTAGAAGTGCTATACAGGAATTGATAAAACGTAATAACAGAAAGTCAAATAGGATATACTGAAGTGTGGGAATATATATAGTGTCGCGTGGTCGAAGCACTGGAAATAGGGATAGATTGATATACTAGGCTCTAAAAAAAGAAGTGGTCATCCAGTTTATTTCGTTCAGCATTGATCTTGGCCAGTGACCTTTACTTTATTACATTTTTATATAGCGTTTGACAGGTGACTAATAAATGTTGAAATTTCTTAAGCTTATCTAACATACTTATTTTACTGGTATTTATTCTCACGTCGGAATGCCTGCTCGCTATCATCCTGATAAGTTAATATTTATGATATTACGTTTGTACATTCTCTTTCTTGGTATGATAATTCAGACGTACCAACTTGTTATTGGAGACAATGGTCTAGACAGTAAAGGGAAGTTCGGTATACTTCGCGTATAGGCGCGTGCAGTTGTCTTTTTTATATTAGAGAAAAATGGGGAATTTCCTTTGCGAGCCATTACACTCTACGTCCTTGTTTGCAGATATGTCTCCAGTGCGGTGGGTACGACGGAAGTCGTCGAGTTCTGAGTCCGAGAGGAATTGCTACAACGTGCAGACTTCCCAAGTGACGACGGAACGCAGCGCCAGCAAAAAGGACAAGAAACGAATACAGGAGGAGCGCATGAGGATTTGCGAGAAGAGGAATCCGCTACTGGACCGTGTTAAAAACACGAGATTGAGCTTCTTCAGAGACAAGGATTCCGACGACGAGTCTGAGGACGGAAATAGGGTGCAATTCCGTTCTATGAATGAGCTGAGTCAACGTGGACTAACGAGGAATGAATTCCGACGATCAGTTTGTGAATCCGACCTTAAGCAAATCAGCGAGGAGGAAAAGACTAGCGCCAAGAGAAAAAGAAGATCAAAGTCCCAGACGAGATTACCCAGTAGAAAGAATTGCGAAGAGCGATCGCGTTTCTTCGGATTTCGTGCTTCTACGCCGAAAGTGTGTAAGTCGAAGGATGACACGTTAGAGGATAGTCCCAAACCTCGACGAAGATGGCGAAAGAGCAAGGACTTTCTGGCTGATAATGATTCTACAAAATCCATTGACATTCTAACGGTGAATAACGAGAGTCCTGGCAAAGACGAATCTTTCTACGACAGTATCACCCCGTCGAGTTGTTTAGCTGCGAAATTCCGTGCGATGCAAGACAGGTACCTGAAGAGCTCTACTAACAGATTGATAGCCAAGATATATAAGAAAGATAGCAAGGACAAGGAGAAGAGAAGACTTCGAAGTTTTTCTTACGGAACCCTACCGGGCCTTGATGAGCTCAGGACAAATCCTCTTTATGAGGAACAACCTGATCAGGACGACAACGATTCTGGTATCTTGGACAACGACTCCGCTACTAGTTCACTATTGGATGACAGATGCAGCAGTGATGCATCAGGATTACTTACTAGCAGCATCAGCGATGCATCCCCGCCACAGCTTCCACCCAGAAGACCATCAGCTCCCATAACGGAATCTGAGAAGAATGCACAGATATATTCCAGTCTTGAACTGAACTCTCTTGTAGCAAATAACATTAAGCACAACTCTACCAAGTCTCTGGGACCTCAGAATGTTACCCTGGGAATAGAGCGCGATCCTCTTAGGACGATCTGTCAGGCAGCGAATTCCGAACTTATACAGCGTCAGACTGGTTTTGCGTCCAGGGACAGACGAGCTCAGAGTTTAAATCGTAAGGAGATCGTCAAAAGACTTGCTAGCAGTAAGGAGAGTCTAGAGAGTCTGCGACCGCAAGTTGTGCGAAATAAAGCTTACACCATGGAGACCACGGTCGTGAAATTGGTAAGGGAGAAGTCTGACGAGTGTCTTGGTATCTTTATAGCCAAGTCTCTAGAATCTAATCCTGGATACTTAGTAGCTCATGTCGTGCCAAATGGCTTAGCTGATCGTGAAGGTACCTTGAAGATAGGCGACGAGATTCTTATAGTGAATGGTAAACGTCTCAGAGGATTGAGCATGGCAGAGGCCAGAAAAATCCTAGGAAGTGGAAGTGGGCCCGGTGAAGTGGACATAGTCATTTCAAGATACACCAGTGTGGATCATCCAAGAAGGCTAAAAGAAAGTAGTGTAGATTATGAGAATGTCAGTATAGAAAATGGTCATGGTGTTATAGTCGAAGCTGTCTCGCCAAAGTCCCACTTCAGAAAGCACCATTCGCGTCGACTAAAGGATAAGAAGAACGATTCCAGTAGATCAATCTTCTCGGAAAAATCGTCATCAACGATTGACAGCTCTTCTCAGAGTATCTCTAATTTTTGTACGCTGCCAAGACGACCTAGGAGCACAGTTTGCACTTTTCATACAGTGGTCTTCGAAAAAGGCCCTGGTAAGAAGTCCCTTGGATTCACTATCGTTGGCGGAAGGGACAGTCCCAAAGGAAGCATCGGTAACTTACATTTATATCTATTCTCAGAATAATTATTATCCGATTTTTATCTAACAATAATGATTTACACTATGCGTCTTTTATTACTTATTGTCCTTCAGGATCTTTTATATTCTGACTCCACTGACCGTGGGTCCAAGGATGGTCTTCCACTATTGATTTCACTGTAGAATTTTGTACTGGTCGTTGGATCAATATGATCAAGAATGATAAACAAATGCAAATAGTTTCAGCTGGACGGCAGCCATACTTGAAAATTGTGGTATAGTATCTACCATAGCATACGTATCCAATGACCGGTACACGCTACCATTGCTTTAAACGTACATTATGTATACATATATCAAGACCAGAAGGCAAAGCCTAAGAATATTTTATGACCCGTCTAATAGTGCCTGTACGTAGAGGAATGTCTGAATTTAATTTTCCTTTATTTTTCTCTGTCATAGGCATCTTCATAAAATCGGTATTGCCCGGAGGCCAGGCCGCAGAAGATGGTCGATTGCGGGCTGGGGATGAAATTTTAGCCGTGAATGGTCAAGTCTCCCATGATTTGGCACATCGGGAAGCCGTGCAATTATTCCGGAATATCAAAAGTGGTCCAGTTGCGCTGCATTTATGTAGAAGAGTCAAGCATCGAGAATCACAGTAAGTAAACGCGTTGAACGTGCGTTTGAAGTTTGCGCATATTTTTTTAACAGGATCATACGTGACCTCTTGTTATTTTTATGCGTTTCAGAGCACTAAAGGCCAAATCGTGTGCAGATCTTTTATTGACGGACGGATAATCTATTAATTTTATTTTGTAAAAATGAGCGAACCAAACGAAGTCTACATGTATAGCTATGAATTTTCATGTACATATTGTAAATTTGTAAAGTATAACGTGAGGGAGAGAGAGAGAGAGAGAGAGAGAGAGAGAGAGAGAGAAAAGAGAGAGAGTCGCTGACAGTAAATGCAATATTTAATAAATTTGTACATACCTAGTTGTTCGATCAACGATAATCGCATACGAATCCTATACTTTGCGAAATACAAAACGTTTAATAAAAAGTACGATTTTTCATTTATTACTAGCTATATAAAAATCATATACAATAATCTTGCGTCATTATATAACGTATCGATATAAAATCTTATATAAAAAAATTCTTAATCCACTAAACAACTGCAGTACTGAGAGGCAAATAAATTAAACGAGACAAAGGTCAAGAAGCTAATCGATTTGTTCAAAGAAGACTAGATTCTAAAACTTTGCACGGCATAAGCGTGGACAGGCTGCTTAGAAAAAAAAAGAGCACTTCCGGTGGGTTTCGTTGTCGATCCTAATAAGGCGCTGACTTTAAAGCAGTTTTCGGATACCTGAAAAGAAGAGGAAAAAAATAAAAGTTTAGTATCATTCGCACGCACGCATGATTCTGAAACGCGCGTTGAAGTTGCCGTCATAATTCTCGAAGCTTCCGAGAACAAGTGAAAATGCATTTAAGTGAATTGTTATGCACGACCATTACAAAACCACCATGAAGCACGTTATACCTGTGTCTTCTCGCTATTTCCAATTCGACGGGGCCTTCCCTGACCGCCTTGAAGAGCTCGATGACTTCCTGATGAGTGTAGCCACGCAGTACTTTTCCATTTAGGCTGAGAATTTCATCGCCTGTAATATCAACGAGAGAAAGAAAAATTAAGAATTTTACACATAGAAACGAAGATTAACTGCGATCGGCGTAACACGACCCAGTTGTCAGAAACTATACATGGTAACCTTATTAAAAAAAAAAAAAAAAACTAATCGTTGCATTAACATTCTAATAACTCAACTAACTCTACGTGTGCACAGCAATTTGCATACTTTCATACACTCCTACGTACAGTCGGAATTTCACTTCTGACTATTGGTACTAGGTAACACGAATGTCGGTATACAAGTTCCATAACCTAGAAACATTATTCTCTCTCCTTAAAAGCGTCCCTAGAAAGGTTGTCGACGAATGGACATTACAGGATATCACAGGACTTTCTCTGACTCGGCAAGCAACGGAAAACGAGAACGTCCAATGGCATCCTGATAAATTTTCGTGTGTCCATAAATATTGTGATTTATGGTCGATGCATCGATACGAGCTCAGTATGTAGGTGGTATAGCCGGGAGGAAAGGAATATGGTGCGTTCGATAATTAATAGGTAGAGAAGTAAGTAAGGCCTGTCCTTATGCAACCCGATCAGCGGCCGCCCGTTATACGAGCATGCGGTAGGCACGAGGAAGCCGCGATATTCGCGTGCTCGTAAAAACGGTTAGATCGTTGAAACTCGAAACGCGTTGCGTGAACGGTTCTCGTACGGTACAAAAGTGCGTCCCGCCGTACTTGCGCGCGCGTGATCTGTGAAATCGAAGCAATCGGAGCGATAATGTTAAGTAGAACAAGCCTCTCATGGTAGCCGACAAGAAAGGCCCTACGGTAAGCGTAGAGATCGGCCGTGCTCAGTTGGTATGCTGGAAGTTATGCGAAAGCAGCATTGAAAGACGGAGGGCGCGGACACTTGGTTCCATTTGTTTCTTCGTGTCTCTTTGGTATTGACTGCTTAGAAATGCACGCGGTGTAAAGTGTCGGCTTAAAGATTCAAAAAGTGTCCGGGTTCCTCGCAATGTGAATGCAGGAACGAGGTGAAGTTGCTCCTGAGACACGACCGCGCCGTGCATGGGCATTAACTCAATACTGACTGTGCCGTTAAGGAGATTTAACTTAATGGATTATTTCGTAGGATTTTAAGATTTTGTTGATTGTATGTGAACGACTTGTTTTTTAACTACCTTGAAGTAGACGTTTCGATACGTCTGCTTGTCCGCCGGGAAAGATCCTCCTGACGAAGATACCCATCTCTCCGCGAGGACTATCCCTGCCGCCTACTATGCTAAACCCTAAACTTGGTTTACCGTATCCTTTTTCAAATTTGGCTATGTGTTTTGTCAAGTACTGATGAGACTCTTGTATAGACTCTAGAGCAGTTTCCGCATCCTTGCGGTCCTTGCCGAGAACTGTCAGAGGTAGGAAGTCTGGTCTCTTACGAAGATCAACGCTTTGATCGGAAGACGCAGGATTCTTGTTATTTAGTCCTTGTTTCTTTTGGATATTACGTAGTGAAATGTTTGAGAGGTTCTTTGCGTTTTCTAGGTACTCGTATTCTCCTGGTATTATCGTAGAATTCGTGAAAACTTGAGGCACCGTCTCTTCGTATGCTGTCATGAGTTGTACTCGGTTTCCCTTGAAAGATTTTAGGAAGTCCTGAACTTCCTCTAGCGTTTCCAGGGTTCTCAACTCTTTACCTTCCACTTCGACTATCTCATCGCCAAGTCTTAATCTGCCATCCCTGTGAAAAGAAAATAAAAAGTATGTAATGTATATTTCAAAATCTTTAAATATTCAATAACTCAAAAATCTCACCTGTGAGCAATACCATCGTTTTCGAGCTGGACCACTATGTAACGTATGTCTCCTGATCTTTGTTGTGCCAGTCTAATACCCAAGCTCTCCTTAGGATCTCTTTTAGCCAATTGAATCAGTCTACAGCGTCTTACCCTCTTAGGTGGCTGTATGATATCAGTTAAAAATCGTGTCTTATCTTGCTGAAGTCTCGCGCGATGTGGAGAATTCGAGAAGGTCTTGGGCGTGCCATCGGAAATGGGATTTCCGTTATCGCGCGAGAGTGGCGATTCCGCAGCAGCAGCAGAATCTTCGACAAAAGATGTCTGATGTATACTAGGCAACATTCTTCCAGAACTGCTCTGATGCCATCTGAGACCATCAATATTCTCGGCAATGTCCGAATTACCATTCGTAGAATTTGTACTGTTATCCGAGGCTTTATTTCCCCGTGTTAAATCGGCGTCCTGTTCATGATATTCGCTAGGCGTCGAACTTCTGATCGGCTTCTCGATCTCAGAATCAATGACACTGCTGGTATCCGAACTGTCTGTGCACTTTAGACTGAGTGCCTCATTCTCTGAAGCTGCTGCAGATTCTCCCCTAGGTCCATCACTATCGTAACCTGATTCGTTGGAGCTTACATAGTGCGAAGACAGTCTCTGTTCACCACTGGGAGCGGAATTGCGTCGCTGATTACGTAGAGTCGCCATTACGTCCAGATCAGCATTCAAGGTGGGTAAATCGGAGTACTGGGAGTCTCCTATCCGAGAACCGAAGTCTACCCTATCCTGACTTGAATCCAGAGAAGGTACTGGACTTCTGACGTAGGAGGAAGTGTAGGATGCATCTTCCTGCTGAAAATTGTCCTCGATCCTCTCCAAATGGCTCGGATTCAGGCTGTACCTGTCTTGCTCGCATCTGTTCATACCGGACGGTCCTCCGTTACGAAATTCCGAGTAGGAATTACGTCCAAGTCTTGCAGTCTCCTGTGACCTGCTGCACTCCCTGTTGTAGTTGTTCCTGGAACGTCTCCTGCCGAGCGTAGTAGTGCCGTCGAAGGACTCTTCTATCTTGAGAGTGGGAAAGTGTTCCTCGGAGGCGGTCTTGAAGAGTCTCTCATCCTTCGACGCTAACGAGCCGTGTCTCTCTTCCGGTAATACAGACAATTTCGAGCGTAAAAAGGCATAAGGGAAGTTCGACTTCTTGACTTCCTTGAAGTCACAGCTACTCGACTTCCTAAGCGCGTCGTTCTTGACCTCGCCGAAGTCGCAGGAGTTGAATGTGGAGGAACGTGGCGGAGGCGTCAGGCCAACCATCGTCTCGAAGACCTCGTCGTCCTGCTGTCCAGTTAAATTATCACAGGAGGCAGTCTTGTCCTTCCTGTTAATCTGAAGATCAATCCCCTCGGAAGGATCATCTCCTTTCACGTAGGTAGGACTGGTGTTAAGCTGACTGGTACTGCAACTCCTGAAGAGATTCTCCTTCTCGGGTGTCTTAAGCTGATCTTCGATGCTCTGAGATCTTCTATTGTGTTTAGTGGAATTGAGCATCCCCGTGGAACCCATACGAATAAAGAAGGATTTGAAGGGCGAGGGCGATCTCTGAGAACTGGGTATCCTCCTCTCGAGTTTTGTTTCCAATTTCATCTCGGGTTTCGTATCCAGCTTCTCCTGAGGCATCCTTTCTCCAGGACATATCATCTCGCGAGATCCAGCTCGACGGAACGAGTCTATCTTCTTGCTCATCCTCCTGCCCCAGACGCCTAGCCCTGCGAATGAGAAAGCATACATGGACCTGTGAGCAATCAGCGTGACTTCGTACGAACTCCACGAAAAACTGGACGTTAAAAGGCTCCTGACTCGCGAATCGCAACGCACCCAAAAAACAAACTGGCATCCGCGCTCAACATATGGTCGCCCCCAGGAAATATCGTCCCGAAAAGAAGAGGTGCCGTCTGGTTCCGCGTATTTTGGGACTAGTTTTTCGAGGTGTCACCGGGTATACAGTTAACGGGGCCCTTGGCCCCATGGGAAGTAACGATTGTTAACCAGCTCAGGTATTGGGTACACGTGTTTTGTGACAACGAATCGTCTTTATAGTCACGACCAGCCAACTTAAATCACGTATCAGCACAGTATAGACGAAGTATACACAACGGAAAGTCACAACCATGGCCCCACACTCCATTCCACCATGAACGAGTAGCAGGTATTTTAATACCCGTAAATTTGTACAGGTCTCGAAGTCTTAACGGAAAATATCCAGAACTTTACCCAGAAAAAAAGACCCAGTCGATCCGTTCAGCTACTTCCTGTACGCGTAGAGGAGTCCCTCTTCGCCGGAAGGTTACAGTAAAACTGTCTTGCCGTGCAACGGTACGCTGCAGCACGATCTTCCGATGTCATCCAGCAGTAGGTACTCCTCGACTACGACTCTGCATAGCTACGCTTAACGTTGGCGAACGTAGAATACGTTGCTAATACGGTGAACGCAGCGTACGCAGTGATGTACGCACGTTAGTCCAGCTCGGCGTTCTAACGAGTCAGCCGGACGGCTGAACGGCTATTTAGTGAAAGGATGCGATATTTCAAGAGATTAGCAAGAATTCTCGTGCGCCGAAGGCCGAGATATGCGCGTCGGTCAGTGAAAGAAGAAGAAGACGTTAAGAAGAAGAGAACCGTGGCATTAAGAGCATAGGAAGAGTCAGTGCCGTGTCCAGCAATCCAGCAATCCAGCAATCCAGCAATCCAGCTAGAGGACAGTCGAGGCAGCAGAGCATGCAGTTCGGTTAGAGAGCACTTAGACTCGCCACGTGACAATATTATCTGTCCCCCGGAGACAAATAGGAGAAAAGAAACGAGTCGGCCGATAGTTCTCCGGGCGACTCTGTGGCAATAGAAGCCCCGGATAATTGACTTCTGTAAGATCGAGTAGCCGTGCCGTGAAGTAGAAAGAGAACCAAGAGAGAGAAAGAGCCAAGTGGAGAGAAGGAAAGAGTGAGAAGATGAGAAAATAACGTAAAAGGTCCAGAAGACACGAGGCACAGTGCGTTTGGCACGAAGACTTTTCCTTTTCTTGTCCCGTTCCATTGGTACCCTGTCACGAAATTATGCGTCTTCCCTCACTGTTATACCTTAGGTCGATACCTGAAGCTATCTAGATGCCCATAGTATTAAGGTACCCACGACGTCCGTCCGTGTACTAGACTCTACTAGACTCTTGGTACCGTAATACGGCGAACGCGTTACTTCGCCTTTGGCCAGACGGGTAACGCGCCACGCTGTATGAGTCAGGCTGAACGACGCGAAGGACTTATCTGTGTGGAATGTACATTCTGGACAGGCATATATTTATTTTTACTTGTATTTTATTTATAAAATAACAGACGAGACGTCTGGATAACGGGAGATAGGAGTGTGTACGCTACTCGCTGTAAAACTGTTACTATCTGGTATATCTTTTTCCTTTTTTCAAGGAAATAATACAGAGCGCGACAAGGGCTACGAGAGAACTTGAGAATCACAAAGAGGAGGGACGCCGAGTGATAAGAGAAATAAAAGACACGGTATGGGACCAGGAGTTATTAAAATTACTTTAGATGAAATCTAGGATCGAGTATTGCGTGTTAAGAGTACATAGAGATGCGTTCCTATGAATTAATTATCATTGACCGGCGTAACGCAAGGAACGTCGGTTCTCTCTTTTGTACGGACATTGATTAAGCTAATGTATAGCAATTAATAGCTTCTGTTCGAGCATTCGTAGAGGCAGGTGTTGTAGACCAGATAAAAGATAATTTTTATAGATTTACATATCGAAGGTCTACAGGCTAATCCGGGCTAATGGGTATTACCGTGCGTTCACTCAATTTGGTTATGGGTTCCCTTGGACGTTAATGGTGGGCTTTTCGATATGTACTACTAACTTTGTCAATTAAAAGATCTAACGTTATTTCGTCCTCCCCTCCCCTCGCCCCCACCTTCTCCCCGCCGACCCCAAAAACTATTTCACAGATCGAATAAAGTATGGCCCACATAAAATTTGACTGCTACGTACCGAGCATGGAAAGTATCGATGTCACGCCTTTAACATTCCAATGTCGTTTCACCATAATTCATAAATTGCATAATCGCTGCATCTCAATGTGTCTCTGCGCAATCTCCGCCTCGGTCTCACTTGTTTATCCTACGTCGACCATTCTTTTCCTACTACCTGGCCTACGGTTGTCAGACCCACCAGAGACTTTGCTATCCCATTCTCTATGACGTCCCAACAACCCAGTCACACGCCATAAAGTAGAACCGTCGATTCGCATCAGTCTACAAATATTATCTAGACCCGCGTACAGCTCACCATCCATATCCAACCAGTACCTAATAAAACGTTCATAGTTGACCTAGCGTAACGACGATACTTTCCCACGTTAACGAGCATAAACCTTCTAATTACCTTTTTGCTTTTCGGGATCGTGTTCCACGATAAAGGCAGGAACCGCCGTTACCATCTGATAATCGGTCTCGATACCACCTCTGGTCCCATGCGACACCTGGTCGTTCCGCGGCGACAAGAAGCCGCCCAGAGGCACATCCCCGCAGCTTCTTCTAGAGTGCTTACTCCTGGCTATACGTATCAAGCCGGAGTTCAGGCTCTGAGGTTGCTGGCAATCCGGACTGGTCCGCGGGCTGAGCTCACCGGGTGGCTGATCAAGGGTCGTCGAAGGCGGCAGTGAATTGGCAACCCCTTCGGCGCTGTGACGCCTGGCCTTTGAGAGTCGCTTGAACATCGCTGCACTGGAAATGGATATAATTGACAATGATTAACGAGCTGAGAGAATCAGTGACTCTATGTGCCGTGTGTACCTCGGCGCATAACGATTTACGAAATATGAGTGGATCTTGGTCAATTGATGCGGCTAACATAGTGCCATAAGAAAGCGTAGGTAATGATCCTATAGATCACGGAAGGGAATGCTCTTTTGATGATCACGTAAGATCCTATATACCTAATGTGACACTTTTCTGATAATTGCGTGAAAGTTGGTGCAATAATGGGAATATGATTGTTTAACGTATGAATCCTAATTCGTTTTCTATGTGTGTACACTTATCAAAACGGTGTGTCTTTCGCTTTTGATCCATCGACTGAATGAACGTTATCAGAGACGTTTGGCTTGTTTGCAATGTTTTATTACCTGGTAGGGTCGGATCGTGCAGCGCGATAGTCTAGAGTGACACTCGTCGTCGGGACGGATATTTGCAGTGTATACGAGGTCTAGCGACAAAACATCTCGTGTAACAGTACTATAACGATAGGACGATTATATTCGAATGGCTACGCGTACAGCAATTAACTTCTATAGCCGAGATGAAGGCCACTCGCGATTCATTTTCCCTTGCCAAGGTCTTAAGAATCGGTAAGGTGGGGAGCATGCGTGTATAATGCTACCTTTTTTTTTCTCTCTTTCTTTCATTCGCGTGGCAATGCGCGAGGACGTGTCCTTATGATTATGATTTCATGAGTCAATTGCCGGAGCATAAGAACTCCATCACGCACCTGTTGCGAATCTTGGAAATCGGAGGTAAACCCATACAATCTATAGCGTCTACCATGCTGAGCATGCAAATCACGTTGTACCGTAGAGGAGACGATCCTTAAACTTTTAAATGGGAAATTTTCAAAGATCGATTGTTCCACGAAATTATTTTCTCTCTTTCTTTAACATTGCGATTGGTGTGTCTGACTAAACGAAATTGTTTCAAATATAAATTCCGGTTTGCCTTGATATCGTGAAAAAAATAGTAAATTCTTTTTTTTTTTTAAAAAAAAAGGGACTATTAATCAAATTTATTAATTCATTCAAGAAGTATCTGTCGCGTAGATATGATCTACACCCGTAAGAGGCTACTCCTTAATACATAAAAAGTACCATAACTGGTACGAGTATACTGACCCACGCGTGTATAACAAGAATACGAAATACAAACGGACACAAATGAAAGACACCCAGTGAAATGTCTGTCAGACGAAGGGAGTCCCAATAAGATAAATAAGAATGAAAAATCATATATGAAAGATATATGCACATCCTTATATATATATATATATATATATATATATATATATATTCGTAACGGATCGTTCTGCAAAAAACACCAAATTATTATTATTATTATTCAGGTATACGTATAATTGCGAAGATTGAGATACCTGCAAAGGCAAAATCCATTCAAGTTCCATTTGTGCTCGCACACCTGTCGCAAGGAGTACGAACTAATGAGTACCCGCCCCTAGATTTATGTTACCCAACATTTCATACAAGTATAATAGACCTACCCAAAGAGGGTTGTCCCTCGTCGTGACATAAGGCCACGATTAGATCCAAGTATAGACATAGGTACCAAGTTGATACCTATTTGCACAGCATTGTGAATATCACAGCGCAACTACAGTAGGTACCTACGCCCCAGGCTGGAGAAAGTCTCGGTGCATAGGAACTGCATAGCCATGGAATAATTTTTATCCGTCCGAAGAATTGCACGGCTTCACGTAACGCGCGTGCCCCGTACGAGTTACGAGTCTCAGCACGTAAGTATACCGATCCGCAAGGAAGATTTCATCTCCGAGATATTTCTCAATTGAAATTTAAACGAGAAACGAAATTCATTTAATTACACTGATAATGGAGGCCATAGAAAGTTCATAGCTAGGAACGCACGTTGGTACGCACGGGAACCGAACGCGGCGCTCCGGTCGTTTTTCTTTCGTGAACATTATACGTATACCCACCTTATCTACGACTGCTGGACAGAGACTAACGAGAACTAAAATCGCTCTGGACAAATCTGTCCTTTTTTTCATTAACATTAAACGGCCCGCTGGCGTGTCGAAAGTGCGCCCGAGGTACAGCCCGAGCCAAGAGAGAGGTTCATTCTCGGAGGTAAAGTTGATCGCGTGCCAGACACTTTATAGGCCTCAAGTTTAGTTCACGAAAGAGCGATAATGGATTTACGTACAATTAATACCTTAGTCACTGCACGTTAATGGAGTAACTTTCATCACGAATATTATAGACTATACTATCACGTGTGTATATCATCTTCATAGAAAATTTTCACCATCGAATCCAGTGGAACGTACTGCTCCTCTATTTACGAAGTGTGAACGAACCTTAATCTTTGCGTCGGACTTTATTACATAGGTAATACACCTGTTGCCAATGAATTGCATAACTTTGAGCTGGCTCGCGCCGTAAGTCCAAACTGGCCGCAAGAATTCCGTATACTTTCACTCGTCCGCGAGTGGAGACGTCGAGGAGGGGCACTTCGTAAAAATCAAACCGAAGGGCTTTAAGGACTGCCTTGAATCGCGTAGCGCGTCCGTAAGAAAAGCGAGGGAAGTGCGATTCCATATAGACACTTTTCCCATAGGATCAACAGAGTCCGAAAGACCTAACCTAGAAGTCTTCCTCGTGCATTCGTAAAATACCAAAGGCTCCCGAGGGAGTCTGAAAATAAAATATAAATGACCAGACTATGGTACCAAAGTACCCAAAAGTATCCAATACGGATATCGAGTACGAAACCTAAAATCTTCCACCACCCTATAAATGATTACAATAAATATAAATACCAAGAATATCAAGAGGCTGCGTTCGTGAACGAAAAAGATCTAAAGTCGTCGAATAATTCGAAATGGAATTTCACGAATAAGCTTCTGACTAGATGTCGGTGAAAATAGGTCCTCCGAACGTACCGTGCACTGACCCCTTGTACCGATTCACGTTAAGCAGTTTAAGAGTGGAGTCACCCTGTGCATATATGCGTATATACGCAAGTACGCAGAAGCGCCAATGAAAAATGAACTTTTCTGTCCAGCCACTGGACCGGAACGCGCGCCGTTGCGTTCTTTACGCGAACGAACGCAAAGGAACGCACCGCGAGTGGGGTAGGACTTGGCGGCGGAGGGGAGAGTAGGGAGGGCCAGGGCGAGGAAGACGAGAGGAGGCCTTTGGCAGTGCGACAAACGCCTGCTGCTGGAAATAGCAGCCGGGGGTAGGGACTTCGGGTTATAGTTAGCTCCTCTTATAGTTAGCCGCTGACTAGCTCGCTGCAGAATGCGAAATGAGCTGGGCCAGTCGTCCTCCTTCTATACGTATAGGTATACACGTATATTCTGCACTGTAATCCAAGATGGCCAGTCTGGCCTAAGCTCGACTATGGATGCCCTATGCCCACAGCCTAAATGAATTCAGACGATCCTGCTACTGGATATAAGATTAGCCGCTCTAAGGTAATCTACCAGGCGTAGCCGAGCCCCCTTGGGGCTATATTTTCTCCGCTCACGAACGCCAGGAACGTCCGCATGCAAAGGAAGCGACCGATTAAAGTTTTTGCTCGCACTAAGAATTAGACTCCCCGAGGAGGATGCTGGGATCATCCGTAAGAGCGAGAGCCAAGGACGTAAGACGCCGAGGCCTGAGAAGCCACTCTCGACCGTGGACCAATTCGTGCACCTGTTCAACTCCAGGTTCGATTCCTGTAACGCCCACCAGAAGACTCCCTAGGAAAGTAGCCTCGGGTATTTTTTTTCTTCCGAATCTTATATCCACTTAAATCCCAACCGGCGTCTCTATCTGGTTAGACCGTCGGACTCGCTTTCGAGATCGGATAAGATTCTGTTAACGTGCTCGGTATAGAGTAAAAGACGCAATCTACCTGCTATGATTCATTGATATAAATAAAGACGAGGAAAGCATTTACTTAAAATAATCTACGGTAATAGTCGAACCCGTTATCGAACGCGTATATATAACCGTATAATTAATTTGATTATATCGGTGAAAACGTACGTATGCCTATTTGGAGCAAGAGAAAATTCCTTCTTTCCATATATCGAGGTTAACGTTACTATGGTATAACGTAGTGACGAGTGTTATATGCTTGGAATATATATGTATATATAAATTTTTTTACGTCTATATATTATTTCCCCGTATATAGACCCTATGGCAATCACGTGTTTTACTGTGACTTTAATACCCATGTGTCTTGACAACGCAATGCGGTAGCAAATACCATAGACTCTAATGCGTCTCAACAATGCAATTAATAATCCAAGAGGCACGGTGCACGTTGCTCGCGAAAGAAGGTCAGCAAAAGTAAGCGATCGAATGTCCCATAGAATATGGAAAGTCGTGATCGTGCCCAGGCGGCCCCCCGACAATCGCTCTGTACCTAATAGTCTACGGCGATGTTAGAATACTACCGGTTTGTCATAATAGACCGTAGGTTCCGCTTCTCCTGACATTCTTGATCTTTCGACAACTGCCTACCTACCTGTCGCACCGCACGTGGTAAAGATGAAGATAACCCGAGGGGTCAGCCGGCACGCGCCGGTATGTTCTTTTTTATCGGGTCACCTCGAACTCCCCTAATTCACTCGTTTAACTTGCGGGACTACGAATCCAGTTCAAAAGTTTCTGTTGCAGCAATCCTTGCCGACTTAAGAACCAAAATGGACCCGGTGCCTCTTGGCAATCGTCTACCGACCGGTCACTTCTCAAACGATCTGATACCGATGCACGTAAGATACGAAGATACATACTTGTCCAGAGAGTGGACAGATGTTACGTCGTACGGTACCTCACGTTACTTGAAAAGGTAGTTTGTCCAGGTCGGTATGAAACAACACTTCCTTTTTCGCTAGAGTAAATCGTGAAAAGAGAGTCGCTCCGACCAAGGAAAATACCAGGTATGCATATAATTGTACTGTAATTCTTGGATCGAGGCATCATACCTGATAGATACGAATACTTCCACGTCCATCCAGGACGTTATATACTAAAGGCTACGGAGAACGTTACAGGTGCATAGGCACCTAAGTACAGGTGCAAATCGAGTGGAGTCCAGAGGAGGTGAGAAATGCATCAGGAAGGAGAACAGCGCCAATAGCGTAAGCGTATCGCCTTAAGAGTACAGTGCACTGGTGTATGCAGGTTCAGCAAGCCTCCAAGAAAAATACTGTGGCACATCTGCTTCTCCTAGTTTTTCTCGCGACTCGCACGAGGTCCGTCCGAGTAGATGATGCAACGTGTTCCACGTGGTGCCTTCAAGGATGCATATACCAGGACGTTCTCGAGATATCTCCGTAAGGGATTTAGCTTTCTCCCAAAAGCACCCGTACCAGGCTACAATAAAAACAGGAGTAATAAAATCGATTCAGCCAAGAAACGTCAATACGATCACGAGGGTTCCGAAGAGATTATCGCCCCTTGGTAAGGTACTCCCGTAGTAGGTTTCAGAAGCCCCGGGGCTGGAGGCCATCAGCCTTGAGGCTTAGAATTCGCATCGAGAGGCAGATCACGTCGAGAGGGGTCTTCTTTCCGCCTGGCGCGCCTCGCTACGTCCTACACAAAGCATGGTCGTAGGGCCACGGACGGGGCCTCTTGTATGCGTTGCATTAGAATGCATTTTGTTTGTTTGTACGCTTACAAGTGTTAACTGCATTCCGAAGGGCTTGGCATTTCCTGCACGCGTCCTCCAGGCAGCCTTGTCGGTATATGCTTCTAACGCTAAACAGAACCCGGCAGAGAAAAGACACCTCACCTTCCACGGATCCTCGGGAGGCACCACCGAGACCCTTTCAAAGTCGGTTCACGGCTATTATTCTCGCATACGTGGTCGTCGACAATGTATTCCAAGAGGCTTGGTACCATTCGGTGGTACCAGAGGTGATACCAATGAATTTCCAACACGTTCAACCGTCAAAACTACGACACGTAGTAAGAACAACAGGATACCTGGAAGCATCGAACGTGATCGTGTTACGTGGTGACGTTTGAATTCGCTCGAGTTTCCCGCCGAATTCATCCGCGAGAAGGTCGATCGATGACAATAAACTCGAAGAAGCGAGGACGTTCCTAGTGCTGAAGAAATCGTAGCTTGGTCGTGGGAGTCAAAAAATGACGACGTATCGCGTCGTCTTCGCGAAGAGTAGCACGAGGGCCGGCTGAGGCCTCTTTCAAAAGTGGCCAGGACGCACTATTAGGCACTACGTTGGAAGCATCGGGGGTCAGCGAAGTGGATAGGAGAAGCGGGATAACATCCACGCTGAATGTATAATGGTGAATCATATCTTTGACGAAGAAACTAGATCATTAAGCCATGCAACCTTGGATTTCTTGCCAAGTTCAGTGCACTGTCCGGCCGCTAAGCTGAATATATACTCAGCCGCTATCTTCTCTCGGTTCTCCCCTCTTGGTTAGACTTTTACAAACGCGCCTCTCCGTCTCTCTCCTCGGTATCTCTACTATGTCTCCGTAGCTCGTGGAGCTACCAGCGAGAGCCATCTAGGCCTATCCTAGTTTTTGCCTAGACTCTCGAGGCTGGCCCAGCAGGCTGCCACTGTGTTTCAAACCATCTAAGGTCCGCGCATCCCAGCCTTATACGATTATTTCCTTCAGTTTCACCGCAACAAACAATAACGCGACCCGCGCACGCACGCAGCTCGGCCGATAAGGAATCTCTGGCCTTTCCAGATCCACTTTCCATCGTGATTTTGTTCGCCACTTGGATGCCACGTCCTTCCTCCTTGTTCTTGCTCTCTCTCGTTATCTTTCGCTCTACCTATATATATATATATATATTCTTGATTTAAGAGAAGCTTAAAGACACTACCGAGGAGAGAAAAGACAAAAGGTACAGTTCACTATAGAAAGATCGATCGGCGTCCCGAAAAACCCGAAAGCCGATATTTCGTAGGGAAAAAAGAACCCCATGATTTTCGGACGTTACCTTTCAATATATTTCTTGGCATCCTCTGATTGGCTAATCCTAACCTGCTGTTATTAAAACTGTTCACTCTATACTTGAACAATTGAAAAACGGTGTCTTTCGAAAAGCAACGATCAACGAAAGTGACGGGCCGCGATCTCACTGGGTCATTAGCTAGGAATTCTATTCAATGTATATAAAGACTAACGACTTCCAATTCTAATTCCTGTCGTTGATGCAAAAGGCTTCACGAAGCACAGAGAAGCGTGTAGCATACGGCGCTTGGCGTTACAAAGCGCACCGTTATACGAACTCACGTAAACGGTCCTCTGTCTAGACAGGAAGGGAATTGAAATTGGTAGGGGTACAAAAAAAGGTTGAAAAACAAAAACGAAAAAGGCACAAAATATTCCTCGTGTAATTCGGTCCTTTCTAACGTTGCCCTTATGCCGCGGCAACATCCGATATCCCATGTGCTGTGCGCTGTGTACGGTCAGCGTAAGATAACACCTGTGATATAACCTGGTGCAAATAAAGCGCACCGGTAACCGAACAGTCGTACGGAACTCTTGGGCAAGATCAATTTCCCTTGAATAAAACATCACGCTCGCGGAATTGGCATTATCGATTCAGAGTCCCTTTATAACCAGGAGAGAGCGACGCGGTGCCATTGCCCTCGGGATTAACTCAAATAAATCCCGATTAAAACGGACACACTATATACTACACGCAAACCACGTATACGTTATATCCAGTGCAGATGCACTAATAAGATACGACAGCAGTCACACGGATTACTTGGCTAAATACATAAGCAATACTTCACATCCGAATTCAATCGAAAACATCTCGAGTCTAACAAAATATAATTTCCTAGACGCGTCTCTAGGCATACATAGTCCACGAGCAACAAATGGACCGAAGATCATCTTCACCGACTCGACCATCTTACAGTTCCATTGTTACTGTAAAAAAAATTTATAAATTATCTGTACTTTGACTATAATAAAAAAAAATTATTTTCATCCTACAGATATTCGTCCGCAAGTAAAGCGCAGAATACCTTGCCATATATCTCAACAGATCTTCTATAGGGGCAAAAATTACTTTATGAACCTGACCACAAAACATTAGACGCATTCAGCAACGGTACCCTGCTCTTCTCTCTGTACACGAAATATACGTATGTATATACTCATATTGCCCCTGGTATACATATCGACGAGATGGAAGCTCTCGAAGGCTCCTTTCCGCAGGACGAGCATTCACTGAAAGGAACATTCGCCAAGCGTTGGCGAGCAACGGTGCACGAGATCCTGCGGTTTGCTCCTCTAGAATCTGGACTCTATACCCAGTAAGCACGTGTGCGCGTATTTCCAGTCGGGCGAAGTGTGACGAGTCGTATCCTCTCTGGTACTGTCTCGCTGCACAACACGTCCCGGTCTCGCTTATCCCAGAAAGCTCCTTTCGGATCGCGCTACGATCATTGCGAGGTAGGACAGTCGTGAGGTGGAATGCAGTTTTCGACGTGAGCGCCGATCGAATCTTTCGCACGGTATCGCTTTCGCTTGGCTATCGTTTCGTTGTTCCTCGGTGGTGAGTTTCGAGTAGAAGCGAAGGACTCGAGATCATCTCGAGCGGATCAACCTAGAAACGTGTTGAATGAGGGACGATGGCGACGGGCTGATAATACGACGTGGCTTCGTCTTCGTCTTGTTAATTTATAGGCTCGTGGCACAAGTCTGTACCAGATCTTGTACGAAGAGATGCTGACTGAACTCTTGTCATTCTCTGCTTCCTTCGAGAGGTCTTCCTCATTCTAGATAATACATCTTGCGCCACGTTCGTGTATTGTTTTAGGCTCAGGTAGAGATGGGTTTAATAGGTTCTGGATACGCTTCGTGCCTTTGGGAATCTTCACTGGACCGAGTCGCTTCCAAGTTAGATTCCGATGGTACCTGCGATCTTAACAGCGTTAATCCTAATGCTCGTTGGATGCTACGAAATGTCTTTGGCTCAAATTCTGCTTTTTCCCCACAACTAGGTCTACGGGAATAACGGTGCTTGAATTATCGTCACGACCATTAACGAGGAATGCTATTAATAGATCATTATAGATGGGATGTATAGGTAGGCGGATAGGGACTCATTTTGGGTTAATTGGAAGCAGATAATAATTTCATTTTGTGTGGGCATTAATATGACTCTTGGGTTATTCTTATTTCATTTTCTTCAGTTTCTACCACAGGGAGTCAATGACATCGATAACCTGTCCAGGAGACGACTACCGGAAACAACACTCTCCTACGCGCAGGAAGATGGACTCTAGGTGGTTTGAAGGTAAATTGCGGATCAAGACGCACGATAAGGAGGGTAATTAGCCGCATAGAAAATAAATCTATGCAAGACTATCCTGCATTAAGTACCGTTCGGCTACCTAGATCCTGAGATTTCGATCCTTTTTCTGGGTAATTGTACGCCGTCCTGCCATTCTGGAATTGAAAAGAAAGAAAAAGAAAGGCTGAGTCTTTCATCAACGACCCCTTATGGCTGTTAGACTTCGAAATATATTCGAGGTACTCAATGATAGGACTAATAATGAACTAACTCAATTTCTAATGACCATCATTCTCCCTAAGGGCTGCTTACATGCTAGTAAATAAATGTAGAAATGTGAAAAATTTTCAAGTGATCGTTCGAATCACTCAGATCGTAGAAAGTCAATGAAATTATGAAATTAATCATACCCACTGTGCACGTAACTTCCGATACTTTTACAGCGATCGTAATTTATCGTGCGTTGAAAAATAACTTAGGTCTTGGCATTAACATTTTTCGATAACCCGGACACCACTCGTCGGACAATACAGTCAGTGTGCGATTATCGCGAAAGTGGAACAGGAATCGTGACTTTTCTCTGGGGGTAAAAGTGTGAATTGTTACCACGAACGCGAGTAGAGAAAGGTCCCCGTCATGGGTCATTGTTCTCTCAAGCTCGAGGGTCAGGTATGTACCTACATGGGGAAAGTATTGTTCAACTACTGAAAAGCGCGAAATGTCGGTGTCGCCATTCAAGAATGACTTATCTCTGGTAACTGGAGCTTTTATAAAGTTAACCTTATCGTTGCACAATTCAACATTTGAATACCCTTATACAAATAAACATTGTACTAATCAACTATCCCTGAGTGGAAAAACTAATTGGCTCTGAGTCCAATTAAAGAACAAGTTACATAAAAGTCACATATAATAAAGTCAAATGGTCCAAGAATCTCTCTATAAGGGTGCATATGCAAAGAGACTTCAAGGTGGTACAGAGCTTTCTTTGTAAAGCCGAAAACAGGATTTTAGAGAGTAAAAAGAAAAGGAGGTGCCTGAGGGTGTATGTGGGGGGGAGGGGGATGGCAAGTGAGGGTGCCTAATAGACGGCGAGATAGGGAGGGAAAGAGAGAGCGGAAGTAAGAGGCTCCAGTGGTGGGTTACATTGCTGATGGGAGTGAGGGAAACGATGCGGCTGTTCGATGTCTCGAAGGGGCGTTAAAGTCCACCGCATCGCGCTCGATACCGGAATCAGGGCGATCTCATCCTTCTCGCAGGTAAATGTTAATTTGTAGATAAAACCACGATGAATTTATGTCATCCGATCGGATGAGAATCTTTACTCGGTGAAAAGCATATACCCACTACGGAACCATTGTACGAGATACAAGTTTGCCAGTTGCGCGTCGATACGTCTAGCGGGGTGAAATTATGGCTGACTGGACGATGTGAATATTGTCGGACTTTAATGTTATTGCAGGAATGCAGCATCGCTCGAACAACTAGTTACTGGCACATTGCGTGCACGTGGAGAAAAATATCGTCCGTTTGGAGGCGGGCATCGACGTGCCGCGAGAGAGCGAGCGAAAGAGATTGACTGTTCGGAGAGAAGTTTAGTCAGAGTGGGAGAGTCGCGTCGTTGCGAACGACTCTTGAGGATTCGTCCTGTTCTAGGTAGTAATGGCGAGTACCAGGACAGTAAATTTTTGCAGGAGTACGTATCCGTTATCATAAATCAATGGTGTTGTCAGGTAATATTGATGGAGAATTTGATACTTTTGAATGGAATAACAGAGATAGGTATATTATTTGCATGGAGGAGTATGAAGATTTTTCTACCGTTTGTCAATTGGTTTATCTGTGGGTATACCTGTATTACCTGGGTACAGATATATGCCTGTATGATATAGCTGAGCTAATGCTAATATATGCGCGAATATTCGATACGTATGAGAGCGTGGGAGAGTAAGCACTGAAAGGTAGTGGAATTCAATGAGTAAAATATAACCGTAATTTTGGTCGACCGATTTAGACAGAGGAAAAAGTTCGTACTCTTGGATAATAATGGCATCACTCTCGATGGGTCCTGGGCCCAACCGAAACTTATTAACGAGCCACGGTACGGGCCGCAGTCTCATAAAGACGAGATGGCGTTATATAGTATGCAGCTATGCAGTCAGGCATGTTATATGATTATTTTGTGCTGCACAAGGCCACCCTATGGTGACAGGATCTTCTTGTCTAACCCGTCCGTCCACGAACCTTGAAAATTCCAAGAGCCATTTAAAACCGACCGATGTACGTTAAATAAACGAAAAAATGTCATACAAAAGCCAGGTTCGACCGAGGTCAACCAATGCGATTTGGTTTATGGCGCGCCTCTGTATTATTGTATTTCGCGTATGATTTACGACGAAGGGGGTATTTTTTAATTTTTTTTTAATCCAACTCATGACTGTACACTCGAAATTTTCGACCAAGGCTTTATCGACTGTGGCATCCCCTTTATCGGGATGGGAGGACCCGTCTCTTTTTTAAGACTTTCATAATTTCATGAAAATACCAACGTATTTTTTCAAATGTTATTTTTACATTTTGCAATCCTCACAGCTTCGCACTGGTACGTCAAGTATTCCTTTTCTTTTTCTACCATTAAGTTTCGTACTCTCAACAGAAGATACACAAACAAATCCAAAAATGAAGAGGAAGAAGCAGACGAAATGGAAATGCAAGCGGAACACGAGCCCGACGTAAACACTCGCCACACGTCCAGATTCCACTTCTGATTTACTTTGAGACAGCGAAGGAACGGTGGATGACAGTGAAATCGTATTTCGCCGTGACTAACAAGAGAAAGATGTCCAAGAGCACCCCGAAAGAAATATGAGATGTATCTATCTCCCGATCTCGACACGTCTCGCCATTTTCGACTCGTCGAAATAAAGTATTCAAAAGGAACAAGACTGCGCACTGTCAAGTATACGCGGCGTCCGAGTAGCCTCCGCTCAGTTAAACGTATAATAAATCGGCCTGACTACTGTATTTCAAGTGAATGGTCGGTTTACCCGTTTGTTTACAGTACCAAGGAGCAAAAACAAAGTGATTTCACCATTAGCAACAAATCCGCACATGGCCGAGTAATGGCTATAACCTCCTAAACTCGAAGCCTGTACACCTTGACTCAAGCTGACATAAACGTTAATCAAATTAACTAATTCCAAATCACAAAACTCACTATTGATACACATATCAGACTATATTATTACCATTAATAAACAATAAATATATAAAAACAATAATTTCAAACTTAGTCCCCATCATGGAAGAAACGGATCAAATAATTCAGTTCTCAATCTGATTCTACTCGAATGACACGCGTCCTGCGATGTATATTACCAAAGTATCACTTACCGATAAAAATCGCGAGATTACCACCTCGCCATTATCCTTTTGATTGACAAATTCGATGATGCTTTCAGTGCCGTGATGCGTTGTAGCAGCCAGTGAACTCGTGAACTCAGAACTTCAAGTCGTATCTCCAGTCCTTTAAATATTCTTAATAAAATCAAAGTATAAACACAGTGTCACTTGATCCGACGAACTCAGACGTCTTCGTGATACACTCGTTAAACGGTAGAACGTTTTCCACCGACAAGAAAGGGTAGTTCACTCGGTAGAAATCGAATGAAAACACCGGGATTCGAAGAGAGAATGGAGCGTGAGGTGGCTTTCGATCGATGTCTGTGCGCAGACTGCCCGCACCTCGCTGTAGCCCTGCGTTCGTCATGTCCCGTGCCCTCTCTCTACGCCACTGAAAACTTAATGCCACATGTTTACTCATTTGGCTCCTACTCGCTACCCCGTTAATTGCCCTTAGCGCAGCATCATCGATTAATAGAATGATGACCCTTTTATTCCTTTTACAAATCCTCAATGAACGACCCCACATTCGACTGTGCTTCTTTTTATCCTCAGGCAACCCTAGATGTATACAGATATACATCCCTTCCGTAACCCCACGTTAGTTCCCCTAACCCTAGGAATGTACACTCCGGTGGTAACCATTAAAATTCTCCTTATCTGTGTGTACTCGCCTTGTCTTTATCTCCATGCACACAAAGCACTTTCTTGTTGACACCATAATTTTATAATGTATATAAAAGTACACCTGTTATGCGAGATCATACGTACTCATTTCGAGCTTACGTGGGATATAAACGTGTAGGACGTTTGACGCTACACCGTGAACCTAGCTGGGAAAGCGTTACGTTTCGTTGAAACTGCGCTGCCGGCGTGACGTTGTTCGTAGCGCGGATTACGCGTATCCGGTGGTGAAGCATTGTTCAGCCTTCGGCGTATCTTAAACGGTTTAAGGAACATTAGGAATGCGCTAAGGGGTAATGAAGTTTTCACTTGGCGCGTTCACACTGTTGGCGTGTCTAATTGATCGTCGGCGGTGGGCGGCCGCGGGTGATGGTAGAAAAATGAAAAGTTTTTTTCCACGGGAAGCTTTGTGGCGAGAGGAGAGTTGCTGGACGAGGGACGACGGAGGAAACGTGGGTTGTCGGGGAAGAGAATGGTCACGGTGAAATGTGCAAATTGGTCTTCACTCTCGCAATAAAATAATTAAACGGCAGTAACTGGCCCCCATGAAAGGTACGCCTTAACTGAGTTATTATTGTTGGCGGCCATTAAAACATTTTATATTGCTTTTTCGAAAGTAATCCGCGCGGTCGATGATCGCTAAAGTCCTGAGAAGATAAATTTCCTTCTTTGTCACGAAAAACACATTTTACGTTAATAAATAAATGTCCCCCTCTCTACTTTACCGATTGTACTTACGAGTATTACCAACTGTTACATTAGATACTCGGATGGTTCGGAAGGATAATATGTCACCTGCTACAACAATCACTAGGCATTCAAAGGTATCCTGGATTGATGACGTTTCTTGGAATTATGTTTCCTGTCTTATTCTTTCATGGCCAACCGGACTCCCCGTCGTATCATAATATGTCGATACAAAGCATTTTATAATTCCATGTTTTCATAATTTCACTGTGTACACGTTGCGCCGTATTCTTCATACGTAAAATAAAGACACATGAGATGTAAGTCCAAAGGTAACTAGTAATCTCACGTAACGAATCGACTTGAGACACGTGTGATATTTTTTGTTTTTAAAAAATAAAAATATAAACAGTATCAAGTAGCTGGTTATCGTAACCAGTAATTACCACGGGATATCCAAGACTCGAATCGTTTCCGTTAAAAGTTATTGATCGCCTTGTTGCTCTGATTCACGGCTAATCGTCGAACCTTTCGTAACGAGTAGAACGTGCAGTTTCCGATTCCTCGCAAAACCTTGATCCACATTCCAGCGAAGTCAAACGATCTTTTTTTATGTGTTTAGCCTCAGGATTATCCATCGTACGAAACGTGTAGACATTTATTCGACTGTCAGCTAAACGATAGGCTGAATGGACACCGTGTAGATACGTTCCTGATCGTGTTCACTACCCACGCAACGGTACGCACTTTAACAGAACGCTTCCCCCTGATGCTATTTACAGGATATAAAACTCCTTGGAAAATTGATGAAAAAGCGGTTCTTCGTTTTTTATACAGTCAATTGGGTATAAATAAGTACGACATCGTGTAACTGAACATTCCATCGCATTCAGAGAATCCTACGGTGCCTTATAGACCGTAGAAAAATTAATCCGATCCATCCTGTAAATCGGGTATGGCAGATAGGTACAGTGCCAATCTTCCTTTGTTAGAAAAACAGTTCAAGGTATATCTATAGCGATTAATCATCCGAATAGAAAAGTAGTCTGGGTAGAGTCTCGCGTAATCAACGAAGAGTGACAAGAGCGTTCGAAATTGTTCGGAAGGACGATCGGTTGGATGGAATATACATATAGGCAGATATCCCCATTGGCTTTAGAATAGCGAGACGAAGCAAGTGCGAAGGAGCAAAGGAGCGTCCATCAGGACTAGAGTAGACATGTAAGTGGTAACTGAGGTTGCCAGTAAGGAAGGGCAATTCGAAATTGATCGTCCCTGCGGTCAGGATACGGTATGTCGTTACGTATCCCTTACGCATAAATTGACCAATAAAAATGGACAATAATGGTTAGATTCAGGTTGACTAACCTATGATTACAGTGTATTACGCCTGATTCACTTGACTTCCACTTTAGTAGAGCAGAAGATGGGATAGGGTCGCGTCGTGATGTGAGAATGTTACCTGAACTAAGTCTTCCCGGACAAAAACTGGACGTTCTAGTGCTACTTGATCTTTTTTTTTCATTCCCTATTACCTACCCTTCCCTTTAGTACCCACTGTTCTTTGCTGAAGTGACATTTTCAAACGTCGTCCACTTCACGTCCTGAAATGGGGTTCAAGGCTTCAGGAGAGTCAGTACTCTTACGCAACGACCTCTTGGACGACCTCGCTAAAACCATACCGAGCATCTGGCGTGCAACTGCTCTCGGTTATGGTCTCTGCAAATAGGACGTTGTTCTTCTCCATCTCGATTGTTCCAGATCTTTCGTTTACTCCAAAGAGTCTCTTTATTCATTCATCGTAACTCGATATAACCTTGCACTCAGATGCGTTCTTTGGAAAAAATATGCAGAACGAATTATAGATCTTACAAGTAACTTCAGGGCAATCGAAAGGGATGATGACCTCAGATTACGAGTGAATTATGCTATTTCTGATATTTTATTTTTTATTATTTATTCATACCGAAAACTGAGCAATCGTCTTTCTACACTTTCTGTCTTCGTCGGAATCTGGTTTCAGGTTCAAGGCTTCAAGATTTGCACCGTAAAGCCAAAATAGAGAGAACTGTCTCGAGGCATGACTTCACCATCTGGTATATGTAACTCCAGTTAGGCGGATAATGGCGGCTCGCGTGATCTCGCGCCGAGTCTTCGACTTTTAGCTCTCGTGCCAATGATTGCAGACTACGTAAAGTTTGCACCACAAAGTGAAGTGGTAGGCAGCCAGAAAGTGGAGAAACGGTTCAGTCACCTGCTCGCAGACTTCTCTCATTGTCAGGTTCTCTCACTGCTTCTTCTCTTCCACTTTATATCCTTTATATCGCATGTATAAGCATCTATCTTTGTCCAGCGCGTAGGTCCAGGTGATCCCATCATCTTTTCTGGACCCATTTTCATAAGACCCCATCTTGACGAATGACATATTAGATTCCACGTATTTGATGGCTTTAAGGACGCGATGGTGCTTTCCGACTATCAAGAGACACGAGACCGTTTAACGAGCCGTACTTGCTGAGCTGCAACGTTCTGAGAAGAGCTTGGGTAATTCCGCCATTAAGTAAATTAAACCAATTAGACTTGCCAGGCTAAGATTCTGAGATGCCTGTTAGAGGAGACGCTGCGCGTAACTGCTCTGTCACTTTCCTAACTATCGCCTCCGCGTTACTTTCCACATCAATCAGGGGATGTAACTGCGAGAGGAACGTGTAACAGGCATTCTTTTCTGCTTTCTCGTTTTCTTTTATGCCTTCGCTTTTTTTTTTATTTTTTTTTATTTTTTTTCATTTACCTTCATTTTCTTATCCCTAGGTATACTTAACCGCGATCGCGTGTATCCTCGTACTTCTCTTCTTCTTGTAGGTGCACATGCCGTTTGCCGAGTATCAATGCAAAAGAAATATATTTCGATGTACCCGACAGTCAAGCGCGATAGCCGCCATCTTGATGCAGTCGTATAGATACGCAGTTAGAAATATCCAATGTCCACGAGTTGCAATTGCAACTTCATTGCTACCATCGGCAGAAAGTCACGTACCGGGAAACACGTTTATTCGTTGTACTTTACCCCTGAACTTGAAGTTGCGTGTTCCCTTTGGGAATTCAAATATATTTCTAGACTTCTAGACATAGATTGGAGACTGGTGGTGCAAACTGTACGCGTGGTAGTCCGTGCAGAGTAATGGCCTTCCTTTCTGCACGATTTGTAACGTAGGCAATGAATCTGGCGAAAAGTGCATTTGGAGGAAATGCACCGTGAAATCAATTGTTTTTCCTAGATAGAGTGTTCCTTGCACGAAAATTTCATTGCAGTTTATTGGGACTTCACGAAGAGACATGTAACATGGTTACCTCACGGCAGGCAGTCCTGTGGCTGGATAGAATGCACTAGGTAAAGTTCTGTCACCACCAATTCTCTGGAGAATTGCAGGAGGATGACTTGATGCAATCAGTGAAATTGTACAGTATTCTTGGGTAATACTGAGTCAAGTCTGGCGGCTTGATAATAAGAATTAATGGAATGCCATTAGGCGTGCGGTTTTCAGGAGAGTTGATGAAAAGTGAAAAACTGGTATAAAAGCAACGTCAACATGGTGGCCCTACGTTATACACGAGGATATTATGCAGCCATTGCAATGGGTAAGTTCGTTGTCGCCAGTGCATATTTTTCTGGCGCTTATTTGTTGTTTGTTTTAGTTGGAGGCGCTAATATTGATCAACTGTGCCACTGGACTTTCGTTACGTGTCGTGAGGCAGGCTGGATACTTTTACGACAAGCCAAAGGTTGCCTTTTCATTGCCAGCTCCAAAGCGACAGGAAAATGTGATTGTGACGTCACCTAATTACGCAGCTTCAGCTTATGCTAGTTCTGCATCTACCGGTACAGCTGCGTCCTCTGCGGCGACTGGTTATCCCAGTTATAATTCCCGTTCACAATCAGCACCTCCTGCTGGAACTTATCCCAATTATAATTATCCTGCTCCCAGTTATAATTATCCAGCACCAGCTCCGCCACCTCCATCATCTTCACCACCACCGCAGCCGCCATTACAAGGAGGATATCCTAGCTATAGCTATTCTGCTCCTACTCCAACGCCTGCCCCACAACCTCCACCACAAGTCAGTTATCCCAGTTATAACTATCCCGTACCCCAACCCCTCCAGCCACAACCACCACCGGTTAGTTATCCTAGTTATAATTATCCAGCACCAGCCCCGCCACCACGGCCACCTCCACCACCGCCACCTCCATCACCTCGACCTCCATCACCTCCACCACCACCGCAGCCTCCACCATTACAAAGAGGATATCCTACCTATAGCTATTCTACTTCTACTCCAACACCTACTCCACAAGTCAGTTATCCTAGTTATAATTATCCCGCACCTCAACTGCCGCAATCTCAGCCACCATCAGTTCGTTATCCTAGTTATAATTATCCAGCACCAGCTCCGCCACCACCGCCACCTCCATCGCCTCCACCACTACCGCAGCCGCCGCCATCACAAGGAGGATATCCTACCTATACCTATTCTACTCCTACTCCAACACCTACTCCACAAGTCAGTTATCCTAGTTATAATTATCCTGCACCTCAACCGCCGCAACCACAGCCACCACCGGTTCGTTATCCTAGTTATAATTATCCTGCACCTACAAGAACACGCCTACCGCCGCAACCGTCACCATCGACGACGCCGGAATCACTGTATTTACCTCCGTCACCATCCACACCGCTTCCTCCTCCACCACCTCCTTCTCCACCTCCACCACCTCCTCCTCCTCCTCCGCCACCACCGACACTACCT